TACACACCCATGTGCTGACACATGGCAGAGTATCCAACGGGCTCATGGGGACTCCCAGAAGATTTAGGATTGCTTCTACTTTATCCAGAGAAAAAGACAAAATATGACATTTTTGTTTTAAAGAGAGATTTTTGCTATAGGACATGTGTGCTCCCCCCCTCCCCAAGAGAGACAAAGTAAGAATCACCCCCCAGGTGGGATGGCCATGCTGCAATCCCTTCTCCTCTATCTTTCTCTTGGAATTTTGGGTACTCACGTGCCTGGCGTGAGTTTTTAATTTTTTTAAAGAGGTTTTTGCTATAGGGTGCGTGCGTGTGCTCGCCAGACAGACAGCGAGAAATCACCCCCTAGGGCGGATGGTCACACTGCAGTCCCTTCTCCATTCTTCTCTCGGGATCTTGGGCACGCACGCACCCAGCGTGAGTTTAAGCCACCAGGTCCGGGACACAAACCACGGTCAACTACATAGGAGTCTAGCGACATAGCCATTACGCTAACTGCTGGTCCCTCGGCGTGAGTTTTAAGCTACTTTAAACTACTGGATCCAGGACTTAAACCAGGGTAGACTATGTGGGAGTCCAGCAACATAACCATTATCCAATCTGCTGGTCCCAACATCATAGTTTTTTGATGCCATGATTCCCTCCCTTCCCGTGTCAACCAAGGATACTCACAAGTAGTTGGCGAGGTTGTGCTCTTGTAATGTGTGTGTTTCAAAACCATGAGGAGTTGTGTCAAAGTAGTCATTGCCAATCCCACAGATAAAACATTTCGTCTAAGGAAAAAAAATAGGTAGAAAAGGCTGTTAATAGGCATGATAATAGGAGGAGGAGGAGAAAGGGGACAATGTTCCTCTAGTGCTTTTGGCTATTAGCGGTTTACTCTAGTCAGCTGAGCATTCACCGTGGGATGGGGCAGGGTGCCAGGTACAAAACATGGGGCAGAAAGGCCAGAGCACACAGATAGGCACGGAAAACTGTAGTTTTGCCTGGGACTGTTCCTAGCAAAATCTTGTGTTTGAAAATCCATTTGCTGTGGGAATATAAAAATAGACTTGGTGACAGGAGCTGGAAGAATGTTACCTCCATATCTTCTCGTACTTGTTCCTGCTGGTCTCGTAGCTCTCCGAAAGCATCAATAATAAGACCTGGGATTTTAGAGACAAAGCTCCTTAAATAATCTACATAGTGATTCAGGGTAGAAAAATGATGCGGTTTTAGCAGAGGCTCCTTTCTCAAGCCAAGCTGTTTAATTAAAGCCAAGTTAGAAGAAAATATTCCAGTGCTGCGTCCAGGCTAACCATGTCTCGTCATCTTGTCCCAACTTCCTGCACTGTTTTTGTTTTTTTTTTTTTCTTCCTGCACTGTTTGAAGCTCCAGGCTCTTTCCTTGCCACAGCTAAGCCACATTCCCCGTGGCCTAGCCATTTGTTTTCAGTCTTCCAGATGGGCTGTTCTTCTCATAGCCCCTCAGTCTTTGCTTCTCATCTCTCAACGTCTGCATGTCTTACTGGTGTCTTAACTCAGCATGACTCAAACTAAATTCATCATCTTCAATTCTTGACAAGCTATTGACTAGTACTCTTCCCTCCCCCACAAGAGAAGAACATGTCACACCCTCACTGCTCCTTGCTACTCCTTGCTGCACCTCACTGCCTGACAGGGAAATGAGGGCACATCCTGCCACAGGTGATATCCGGGAAGCAGATGAGGCAATCATCCAGTAAGGAATGGAAGGAGGCCGCTATATGGACTCCAAGTTTCTTGTAACAGTGCTTCGGTGTATCTTTGGCTATCTATGTAGACAAAGCCCCACAAGTAGTTAGATGTTCCATAAATAGTTCCTAAATTAAGTAAATAAGTCATAAAAACGGGGGAAAAACTAGATTAAACACTGTTTTGATGTGACATAATTTGCAAGCATACCTTGAATGATGGCCAGCAAGATGACAATGACAAAGAAGAAAAAGGTAATGTCAAAGACAATGCGATACATTTCATATGGATCACCAGCAGGGTCTTCGATTTCATCACCAATGCCGCCACCTGCTCTGACTCCCACGTACATGTGGAAGAGGTAACACTACGGAGGAAAAAACAGTGGCAATTAGTCTCATTTTTATTTTTAGCAAGATGGTCAGATTACTCATGTGATTAGATCAGACTGAGAGACATTCCTGATCCAGGAGGGAGGGGGTCATTATTTCATGGTGCTAACTGCTGTTCATGATGCCTTCTGGTCAGCCTAGTGTCTACAAGATGGAAAAATTGTTATGTTTAGGCTTTTAACAGAACACCTTAGGCCTATTTTTTTTTTTTTAAACAGTTTGAACTATCTGGTACAAATTGAAAAAAATCTTTAAGCCCTGATGAGTATAGCATATGCTATTTACTAGTTATTTACCCTATACTTTTAATAATGCTAGACTGGTCTTCTACCTGAGCCATAAACTCTGGGGAAAGCCTCCCTTTCCTTGTCCTGCATTCCCCACACAGCTGCCAAGGCAGAGGAATTCCAGCAGCATCTTACATAACAGACTCTCTCTCCTCTGTTCTGCCCTGTGACCACAGATCACTGGCTCAGGCCACCTTCTGTCCCTCCACTTGACTGCAGAGCTTGCACTCATACTTGCAGGGAAGACCAGTCTAGTTTGAAGATGTGACCCGGTCACACTGGGCACTAGTGACCAGTGTTGCTGGCTCAGGAGGGTACACATCCCAGGACAGGCCCAGGAGAGGTGTTAGCTATGAGGTGTTACCTGACGTACAGAGAAAGGGTTGGAGACTGGGCAGGTCCCTGACCCATGTCCTCTCCTGAAAGTTGATCATAACCAATTTCTAGAAATGCTGCAGCTCTCCTGGCTCATCCTGGCTGGAGCCCCAGGCCCTGCCGCCCTTTAGGCAAAGGTGCTGTTCTGAAAGACCCCCCACGGTCTTGCTGAAAGGAGGGGACTTTAAAAAGTTTGTTGAAAAATTGAATTAAAATACAAGTTTATTTTGGTGCCAAAAACTTTGAAACTCACACTTAATATTTCCCATGAATTTCTTGATGAGCCCTTAATATATTCACCGATCTATGGTACTTTGCTCCTGGTTTTCAGAGCCAAAAATCAAAGCTTGACTTTCATGAAATTACTGCATTGTCAGAAAAGTCACGATGTATTTGTTTTTCTATGCAAAGTGTGTCATGACTTCTCCAACAACCCAGTGGATAGACTTCCATTCCCGATGATGCTTCCCTTTCCACTAGTCCAGAAGTGTGATAATGGAGCCCATTTCCATCACTTCTGTCATCCCCGATACTCCTCCACTTTGGTCTCTGTCCTACCTGACTGCTTCCTCCCCAGCCCTCCCCGCCTGTGGTGGGTGGGCTCTCACCGTCATCATGTCATCACACTTCATGTCAGGCTCCTCATCATCCTCACTTTTGTTGTAGAACTTGCGGAAGAAGTTAAAGGCCACCACGGTATAGAGGTAAACCACCACAGCCAGGAGACCGACAGTCAGAACCAGCTGGGAATGAGAGGAGAGAGAGGAGGAAGAGGGATCTTCTCTACCTCGAAAGGTTTGGGTAGATGCAAAGAAAATCAAGGGCAAGGGTGAGGCCCCAGAAAGAGAAACAGACTTATGGGAGAGAAGAGCAAAGATGGAGCATTAGGGGCTGAACAAATTCATATGCTGAGCCCTGACCCTCAGTACCCCTCAACATGACTGTATTTGGAGATAGGACCTTTAAAGAGGTGACTAAAATGGGGCTCTCTGGTAGGCTCTAATCCTGCTAGTATTTTTGTAAGTAAAGGAGATTAGGACACAGGGAGAAACCCAAGACCTGAGCACAAACTTGGGGACAATCATGTGAAAACCCCGAAAGAGTCAAGGGGAGAGCCCTCAGAGGAAGCCAACTCTGCCTGAACCTTGACATTACGCTTTCTGCCTTCAGAACTGGGTCAGGACAACCCCAGCAAACTAATACATGGGGCATTGATTTGGCATAGGTATTTTAGTATTGAATAGTGAGGGGGAAGGTCGAGGAGAAGGGTTCCATTGTGTTTACAGAGTGGGTGTCCATGTTATATATTTCATAAATAACCATGAACTGGAAGTTGTTATAGTGATGATGGTCAGGGCCAGCAGGTGGGGTGATGGTGAAGGCTCTGAAACCCACATGGTGGCTGAAAATCACTTTGGGCATGTATGTGGCCTTCTAGAGAAGGAACTGCAATGTGGCCATCCCTCCTGGGGGATAATTTCTCACTTCCCCTGTCTTTCTGGCAAGGGCCCTAGGACAGGAAAAAAAAAAAAAAAAGAAAAAACTAAAAAAATAAAGGGTAGTTGAGCCAACTAATATTTTATACTACTAATAAATGTCCCTAGGCTTTTTGCAATGTCATGAGGTATATTTACTTCAGGTTTTAGGAGGGAAGGATCCAGCAGCATTAAAGATGCACAGGGACTAAAGATCAAGATAAAATCCTTCCCTCCAAGAACTTCGCGTAAGGGAGTGGACACAAGTGCTACGACAGGAATGAAGGCGCTCGATGGCCTTGTGAAGGATGAAGAGTTACTCAAACCTTGGGTAGCAGATCTCAGAGAGCAGGTGGTTTGGGGTGGGGGAAGGGTCGACATTGCACCACGGAAGAAAAGGACTCAAATCTAAGCTCTACCACTTAGTAGCTACATGGTATTGAGTAAGACACTTTGCCTCTCTCTCATCTGTAAAAAGTCAGCATAACATGTACCTTAAAAGATTGTTGAAAAGCTACCACAGCACTTGGAACATGGAGTAAGTGTGGCACATTTTAACTTCCTCCTCCTCTTCCTTTGCCACATAAAAGTTTAGAGATGCGGGACCATGTTTTATACATGAGGTTGTACTTAATGGGGAAAGACATGCTAAGCAGTTTGTCATAGATAAGGAGAAGCCATTAGAGGGTTTTAATATGCTATCCCCTGTCCTCTATATATTGTCAGAATCAATCTCTTAATTAACCATATATGTGTTATACAGGTTACACAGTAAGTACATGTACATACTGTGTGCCTAATATATAACTACACATATGTCTTTAACATATTTATCATATGCACATAACAGAAGTACCCGAGGAATTTTCTAAATATCTGCTTGTTAACCCCCAGGGAGTGTCTTAGATGGAGGAAAAGGTCTGTGTCTTCCAAAGAAGGTTTCCAAGGTGATTGTGATTTGTCTATTACCTTCCTTGGTTGAACTAAATATCAAGGGTCTTTGGATCAAGGTCTCATGCCTCTTAAGTGAAAGCAGCAGCTATATACACACACACATATACATACATGTATATATTTGTATACATAGACATGTGTATATGTATCTGTTTTTTAGGTTTTTGCCATAGGGTACATGTGTTCCCAAGAGAGAGAGAAGAAAAGTGAGAAATTACCCTCCCCCCTGGGGGGATGTTGTGCTGCAGTTCCTTCTCTCAGGATTTTGGGCACACTGTGATTTTTTTTTTTTTTTAAGTCACCAGGTCTGGGACGCGAACCATAGTTGGTCATGTGCGAATTCAGCATGTTACCATGCCACCTACTGGCCAACAAAAAGTGGCATTATACATATTTCTTATTAGTATACAGCCTATCTTTCTGTCATACACTAGTATAGAAACCCATGGTTGGATTTTTTTTTCTTCTCTATATGAAAACTATACAGGCCCATATGTTGGTCCATTATGTTCTGCATCAGTATAAGCTGATACCTGTTTGCCATTGTGAGTTACAGATGACAGGATAGTCCTCAATGTCTTGAAGCCCATTGCAATATCCAGCAGATGAGCAGCAAAGAAGAAGTTGTTGTAGTGGCCCAGGATGGACATGGTTGTATACCAGGCAAGGTAGAGAAAGGACTGCAGAAATCGGAGAAACAGAGCAACTTTCAGACATACAGCACTGTGTATTTCCCTGTATAAAATGTACCAATATACACTCCTGCACTCTAAGGATCCCACTCTTGGCCCGTTAAAAGGTTAATTTCTGACAAATGCCTGTGAAAGCTGTCCCTGAGTAATGAGTGTCTTCCCACCCCTAGGTCCCTTTGGTGGTATTTAAAAGGGAAAAAAAAATTGCCATTTTGTCTCTTTAGGGACCAAGTAAGGATAGAAAGGATTAAAGAACAGAGATCGTGAGAGGCCCAAGTAGTGCCAGTGCCCCATTGACTTTACACTTAACAAGAGAGGAGCATCCCCCTGCACCTTTAAGGCTCTCAATCTTAATCCCTGAATCTTTCTGTGCATCCAATGGCATCCATAAAAGTAGTATCATATTTATCCATATTTGAATATACTGAAATACACACATACTCTGGGGAGCTGAATTTCATTTTTCCAGGTATGATACTTACATTGTCAGTGAAAACAACCCCCAGCTTCCAGATATGGTACTTCATGTCAATGGAACTTAGCCTAAAGAAGAACCAATAATTTCAGAATTTAAATGTCAAGACTTAGTTAAGTGTTTAATAAGAGGAAAAATAAGTTTTATTCTCTCAGGTTTAATAACCTAAATATGGCTCTGATTTTTATAGAGTTGTATGTGTTCCCTTGAAACACAGAATGGTTGAATAACACATCCTGAAATTTTAATTAGTCTTTCTTTTTAAGCTCTATTGTGCATTAAAGAAAAGTCTTCAAATTGTTCAGAGCAGTAGTTTCCCCACATGTTAGGACCTAGATGAAACACCCAAATCAGACCAGAGCCTGAGAGAATGAAGTTTTCACAATGAAGAGGAATGGAAAAGCAAAATGTCTACTAGCCACTTTGGATTTTAAGTCCTAAACTCTGTACCATGACACCAGAGATGCTGCCTCTACTTTCATCTCTTCTACTGGGCTAAAGTCAAGTGCATTTTTGTCCAAACCCAGGAGTTCAGCAATACGATCTGCTCCGTAGAGATCTCCGTACTTGTTGATCACCTAAAGCAGAGAGGATGACAGAGTAAGCTCAGGTCACATGCCACCACCCATTTTTTTCTCTAGCTCCGGGGTCTTCCACTCGGCTCTGCCAAGGGGTTAAGACATGATTCAAAATGCAACAGGAATACGGGGGGGGGGGGGGGGGCCCCCAGGGAAAAAAAAACAAAAATGATAAAGACAATGAAGTAAAAACTTTTTCAAGTTGAAATGTTTTTGGAAGGGATAAAAAAACCTGTGTAGAAAATGACAAGGATTGTTTTAGGCTGTTTAAGATGAATGAGTATAGGAATGATGCCAAAAATCTACATTTATATACAACTCCCTCTATGACTTACTCTTGAAATACCATCATACAAATCGAATCACATTTATCTATGTTTGTCTATGGCGAAGTACACGATGTAATAGAAATGTAATCATGGACTTCCCTGCTGACAAGGCATACCTTTCTCTTTACAAACTTGTCCCAGTAGTTATTAGGAAAAGATCTGAAAAGGAAAAAAGAAGGCTCTTAGTTCTCAATATCAAGAAATTTTGCAGTTTGTGTATTGTGTCATCGGGAAAGTCACGACTCATCTTTACATAGAAAAACACAGAAAAATGTGTCATAAACTTTCCTGGTGACCTAACAGATCCGTGATCTTTTTGGTTTCTGTCATGCCCACTGAAGAATTTAGGACTTGATTGAAGTTCACAATCATCACAGGTCAACCAAGTCATGGTCTCACTACTTTGTGTTGATTTTTGAAACACCTGGAAAGCCCCTCGGCACTTTCTTTCTCAAAATTATGACTAAGAGCCAGGAATTGTGATGCCAGACTAAAGAAACATATTTCTTTCCCTGATCCCAGGGTGACCAGAAACAAAGCCCTGTAGGAAAGACATGTATTTTATTCACTGAGTTACTACTTGATGTCAGTAACTGGGGTAGGTGCAAAGAATCGTATACTATTTTTCTAAACCTGAGTTCTTTTCACCCTATTATCCATTTTTACATAACTAATTCCGTAGATCATTAGACCTCTCTGTCATTTGAATGGGATTCCATGTTCTGTACTATCCCTAATGTTCTCAATGTCACTTTTTTCTATCTGTAACCTACACCAGCTCTACTATGATACAAATAGTTTTATTGTTAAAATCAAGAAAGAACTGTCACCCTCAGGTATGTTGGCAAAACTATTGAAAACATGTCACTCCTGTCCAGAATGATCAAATCATTCCTGTGAGAGGGTTCTTGATAAGGGTGGGTGGTAGGCAAGGAAACTCTGGCCAAGGGTGTACATATTGTTTTCCTGTACTTCAGCCATTCTTTTTTACTCTGAAATGCAACAATCCCCATTTTCACAGAAACCACCCAAGTTTGGTATAGGGAAATGAGAACTCCCTCTATTCACAGGTCTTTTAGAAGAATAACCCATAGCAAATGCCCCTGCTCTCCCAACAAGGAGACAGACTTTTTTTTTGGAGAGATTGTTGCTATAGGGCGTTTGCGCGCGCCAGACAGAGACAGAAAGCAAGAAATCACCCCTCCCCCAGGGGGGATGGCCATGCTGCAATCCCTCCTCCTCCATTCTCTTGGGATCTTGGGCACGCATGCACACACGCCTGGCGTGAGTTTAAGCCACCGAGTCTGGGACTTGAACCACGGTTGGCTACGTGGGAGTCCAGCGACATAGCCATTACGCTAACTGCTGGTCCCAAGGGTGACAGACTTTTTTTTTTAAAAAATCCCCTCCTTGGTTTATTTAAAGAATATCTTGTCTAAACATGTATTAATAAATGCTACTAAAAAGTAAAAATTGGAAGACTTTTAACTTGATATAATCCCTTTTGTTTATTTTGTTTCCTGTGCTTTTGAGGAGTTTGTTTTCATCTTTGTCAAGAAAACAACAGAATTCTTTGCTATGTAAAGTAAATGTTTGTGGAAAAATGTAGAATAAAAACAGGTTGTAGTGTAAAAAAGAGACAAAAACAAATAAATTAAAAACTAAAAAAAAAAGAACACAACAGTAAGGAGACAACTTACAGAATGGGAGAAAATATCTGCAAACTATAAATCTGGAAAGAGATTAATAACTACAATATACTAGGAACTCAAGTAATTCAGCAGTGTAAAAACAAATACCCTGATTTAGAAATGGACAAATGGGGCTGGCAGGTGGCATGATGGTTAAGGGCACTAGACTCCTATATGGCTGATTGCAAGTTTGAAACCTGGACCTGGACCTGGCAACTTGTTTTCTCACTCATGCTCTCTCTCTCATCAAATTAAAATAAATATAGTTTTAAAAATCTTTTAAAAGAAATGGATGGGGAACCAGCAGTTAGCATAATGGCTATGTCGCTGGACTCCCACGTAGTCGAACACGGTTCGCGTCCCGGACCCGGTGGCTTAAAACTCATGCTGGGCGCGTGTGCGTGTGTGCCCAAGATCCCAAGAGGAGAATGGAGGAGAAGGGATTGCGGCGTGACCATCCCCTCTGGGGGGT